GTCAGACCCCGCAAGTAGCAAGATCTTGTTACGTCGGCCAGAAGAGACTTCAGGTAAATAGATACCTAGTTTTATTGCGCTCCGAAACACATCCGCAATCTCGTAACCTTTATTTTACTTCTATAATTTTTCTCTTGGCATTTTGTTCTAGAAATTTATTTTCGCCGGTATTTTGGGCGTGACTATAACTCTTCGCATGACGGTAATTCATATCCAAATAAAAATTCGAGATTTTTATAAAATACTGCGCTATTTCTTGAAAAAGAAATATGTATATTCGTAATTGCTTTTGTGTAATACCGTTGCAGTTTAGTTTTGTGTACAAAGTATTAATTTCGCAGATATACATAATCCTGCTTTGCTCTCCTCGCATGCGATAATTCCAAATCGTAGATTGCATCGGCGACAAGATTTTCTTCTTAGAAATCCCTCAAAGTTCAATCACAATAGCGGATTTACGAATATATATGTAGCGTATAAATCCAGCCCAGAATTTTATCTTGAAAATCGGGACGCATTGATATGTTTAATGCATCGACCCTCACATTGAGTTTCCAGCGGTTTGTGTGCGCCGCGTGCAAATAACGCTGGTCTTCTATTATCGGTACGTATAATGGAAATTACAAGCGGAGGCGATCAATAAGGACTATCGTATTTGCGGAACACTATGGTGACTTTGTAAGTTTGACTCGTTTGCATTCAAATGTCTGAATGATGCTCCAAAAGTTAAATGCCATTGCAAACTCGTAGTAATAGACACCGTTTGATTGAATGAAATTTTGCGGATTTTCCGTAATCAAGCGCATTTCTCATGATAATTTTAAGTGTTCGTTAAACCGACGTTAATTAAACGGTTTTCGGCGAACAAAATAACGAAATCATTCTGACAGCACAGATATTTCGACAATCGACATGTCTATTCATTTAGCTTTGCTATTTTGTTCAATGGACATATAATGTTTACATATGGCTTCGATGTTCATACGTTGCTATGAATTATCAGGTTTCTTAATTAGCATTCAGGAAACATAAATAACGAACACGTGAACAAATTTCTTTCGTGTAAAGACATGTAAACAATTCTGTTGATTTTTTTCTCTCAAGCGGCTATTTATAAAACCAACAGTGAGTGTTCCGCATAATCTCATCAGTCACCGTTTATGCAGCCTCAGAGTTCTCACTGTGATTCATGAGGTCGTAACTAATAGAATCTCCGCGTTGCTCCGTCAGAAATTAAGGCGATTACTCGCGCGCAATGTACTCCGTAGAAAACGGAACTTACGTCACGGATCACATCACCGATAACTCACGACCGGTCCGAGTTCGCTTCGAGTATATTATACAAAATTAATCAAGCGGACGTAAACCAATACGAATCGCTTCTCGCTTTGAAGCAAAATTAATAGCGTCTTGCGCAATATCATCCGTAATCGGGGAGAGAGTATCGATAGTAAGTCACATTCATTCGGAGGCTGCGCGTCTGACAGGCTTTGCCGGCGCTTCGATACAACCGCTGATCGTGTTTGCTCGCAAGAAATACGACGCAGTCGCGTGTCGCGACTGCGGAAGAGAGAAATGCAGGAAATTAGATCACCTTGGGGTGGCGGCGGGGGCGAAGAGCGCGAGACAGTCGGAGAAAGGGCGAACAGAAACTGCATTCTAAATTCGCTGATATAAACGCGCGGCCCTCTTCGATATAAACGCGGTATTGATCGTTTGATATCGAAGCATACTCGCACAAAAGCGTCTAACGCGCAATTTCGCATAAGACGCGCGAATTATTTCCCTTTTAACGCACGAACTGAGAAATATAACTGTTCAAAACAATTATTTCCACATTATTTGAGTATAATAATATAGATAATTGACGTAAGTCTCTATCGAAAAATTGGAGCATATCTAGAAATATGGCAGCCATGACAAATACTAGAACGCTAATTGTCTATCTACGTATTTGCATATGTTATTGTATGTTATACAGTACGCAATCGTATACTCAATATTGGCTACATCAATAATGGATTAATTAATTATGAGATAGAGTTGCTCTTTGATTTCTCCAATTGAGACATGGTGATTTATGTTCGCGATATCAAAATAATTGTTCTAAATATGCCGGATATGCCGGGTGATTGCCGTCGAATGTGGGTATATTATTCCGAAGCTTCGTTTAAACAAACATTTCCGCGATAGAGAACTGTTTGAAGCAATCCTATTATCTCTGGTCCAGTTGATCCCACACTATTGCTGCTAAGTTTTGCTACGCTATACTAAACGTCGGCCATGCAGAAATTGAAATTTCAAGCGGATGCTACTCCCGTAGACCCGACGAAAGCGAGAGAGCACGTTAAGTCAGGCCACGTTTTTATTAGCGGTATATTGGACGCGTGGAGCAACAAAAGCGGGCAATACCATTAAGCACGAGACCTCTAAAGTTCGCAAACTCAATCCTATTGCTTCTCCAATTCCCCGTCGTCCCGCCGCTCCTTCCCCGCGGGTTAACCGTCAAGATCGAGGCTGAACCCTTCCACGACCTTCGTCGTGGCAAAAAGTACCGTCTCTTTTTCGCCTAAACCGCGCAACTTCGCCCGGCTTTGACTTCCTGCACTTTCACGAGGTCGCGTCTGTCTACGCGAGCAAGGACGCGCAAAAATTCAGCTAGAAGAGAATGCTGCAAAGCACGTCTCCGCGTCGATTTTTCCTCAAGTGGGATTTACCTCATAGCGCGATACGAATCTGCAATATTTCTCCATCCATTCGCAGAGACATTTTTCAGCGTGTTTTTCACAATAACACACGTAGAATCAACTTTACCAAAGAAGGGTACCGTTCTGCAATAAAGTGGAGTTTCTACATTTTACAATCTTTGAAGTGAGTCGTGAATAATGCAAATTTGACACCAGTCTATGTGTTTCGAGTAGAAGACATGATAATTCAGCGCAACGCTCTCGTTAAATAAAAAGAAATGAAATAAATTAAATTAAAAAATAAAGTGTTACATTATTTAGTTGTATATTAATCTCGATATTCAATTCATATTTTATAGAACACCAGATTTTGAAATATAAAACACGATAAAATATGTGAATCATACCATAATATCAATTAGATTTAATTAATGACATTTTAATAAAGTATATGCAATAGTGAAAATTAATATACGCATTCTCTGGCAAATAATATTATTTGCTAATTATCGATATATCTTTACACATATATGAGAGAAATAATGGATTAATTTTTACTCAACTGACAATCGATTTTAGCGTGATTTTCATTAAGCTACAGCTGCAGCAGATATCATGATGACATCTTAATTTACTTTAACCATTGATTATAAATATAACACAGAGAATGTCAATATAAGAAAAATGTATAATTTTACGCGAGATTTTTCATAAATGAAACGCGTTTCGGATGACCAACACACTTGATGTGTAACAACAGTTTCAATAATCTACGTGTGTCGATAAGAATATATGGACGTGGCTTTATCGCTTTTCTTAGGAGGAATTCGAACTCTTCGATAGTCTGAATGTATTGGAACTTCATGCTGCCTTTGAATTTTTCATGATATAAAAAGACGTTGTCGGACAGCATGTACGAGGATAGATTGCATCTAGGTGGGTCAAGAGAATTCACCAAACGTACACTTCACGATCCGACGGTGCAAATAAACGCACTGTCAATTACAATTTATATTGGAACCTTTCTAAGAGAGATTTCTTAGTTTCGTATTTTTAGAAAATTGCAACGTTAAATGTTAATGTTAGATTATAAATAATGATTTTGAAATTGAAAATATTTTAATTTAACGATACTAAATAAATTTAATAAAATTAAAAATTTTTATAAAATTTCTGCTAGCAAAAAATTTACAAAAAATCATAAGTGTTTAATATTATTAAAATTTATAAAATATTAAATTTTCGAATATTTAACATTCCGCAGTATATATTTGTACATCAGTACTTTTTTGGTGAAGTTATCGCAACTGACAGATAGAACGGATTAATGTTGGACTACTTTTCGCAGGAAATTACTGGAGATACTTGCGACGACATATGGAAATGGATTCTATTTTATTTTGATTTGTGCAAAAGAAGACAGGTGAAATATGTTCTTCGGTATCTTTTAAAATTTTCAGCCGTAATAAAGTAGAAAATAAAATATTCGTAGCCGTCATAAAATATTCAGATATAATATCCGCTGTGAAAAATTTTCTTTCGTCTGTATTGAATTCTAAAGTTAATTGGCGAAAAGTTCCTTTTTACAAATAACTGCAATCACCTTACACGGAAAGGAATGTATTGCCATTCGATATTTGTAAAATCTCGCTCTCTTCTTCTTCGGTGAAGTAACTGCCGCCCGGCAGCCTGAATGTATCGCGGCTTGTCATGATACCGCCTGAATCCCCAACGGTACGCCGCGATCTTGCCGATCGTTTGCGAGGAATAATATCCGCCGAGAGAATCACGTAGCTGCCAATAGTACTTTATAAACGGCTGATCGACCGACAGGCCAATTTCTGCAGCCTCTTATTTCTTCTCACCGTTTTCTCGCTCATCCCAAGGTATTTGTCTCGCGGGGAGAATTGCCTGACAGCGAGCTATGCTCGCCGATTGTATACGAGGCGAAGCATTATTTGAAACGCTTCGAGAAACCCGTGCATAAATTAAAAGGCAATTTTGCAGTTTCGAGTGACCGCCGTCGAACTGTTGTGCCGCAGCATTTTCATCAATCGACGACGCGAAGCGAATAAATGAATCGTAAGAGATAAACGGCGGATTATATTAAGCTGATTTTAAACGGTACTTATGCATATTAAAATAAATCATTCATAAACATGATATGGTATGCAAAATATGTTAGCGCTCAGTTGTATATGCTTAATTTAATATGCATGATAATGTGCCTAAAGATGTTTTTGCAAAATGTGTAGCGCGTACAAAATCAAGCGTAAATATATTGGCAAATGTTATGTAATATAAGCTACTTACATGGCGCTGCGTGTATCGGGTATGTCACGATTGCTCGGAAGACCGTCGGAGGCTTCCTGATTGAATTTATTCCTCGCGTATGGGTCCTCGCCCGCTCGCAAGCCGCCTCTCGAAACATACCTGTTGCGCAAAGGAAATAATCGTTGCTAAATCCCTCGTTACTTCTTTGCGCGCGTTTTGAATCTCGCATAATATCGGCTTTTAGGCGAGAACTGCAGTGCGCGCGAAAAAATAACGAGATATTCGGACCCGCGTGCATTTGACGCGTGTCGAAAACAGACGAGCCGTAAAACGCGCGGTATCTATTGTAACAATTGTGATAGCGGTACGCGCGCGGCCGCTACAATTATCGGAATAATAGCTCCGGCAAATGACGCAGAGAATGGAAACGTTTCAACGAAAGATAGCGCGGGCAATAATACGCGAAAATATCCCGGCGGTGCGGAGAAATTGCGCAATACGCTGCAGTTTCTAGGCGGAAAGTTAATACATCGCCGCAACAGAGCCTGAAGATAATAGGTTCTTGCGCCGAACGCGAAATAATTAATACCAATGTGCCAGATTCCGGACTGAAGTCTCGCTGCGGTTGAATTAACATTGCATCCGCGAGCGCTTTTTGGAACGCTTAAGAGCGCGCGATGCGGGAACGGAAATGCAGCCACGGATCGAGTTCGACGTAAATCCACGAAGCTGATTATCGCGAAAGAAGGATTGTGACTCACCCCTGCTCGTCGAAGTAATTCCACGTCACTCTCGGATCCGGGGTCGGCGCTAGCAGCAGCTCGGATGACATTACAATGGCCGTGTCGTCTGGATCGACGTAGCCGCCGGAATTTCCGCCGGCGGACAGTGCCAGGGACGCGGGTTCTTTCAGCCGTAGGGCTCTATTTTCGTTCTGCTAATAGAAAGATAAATTTTAATTAGAATCTTATCGCGCATCTAAATTACCGGACATTGTGTAAAGAGCGAGTTTCAACAGCGTAAATTAAAATTTATATTTTAAAGTAATATTTCTCTCAGATCGCGGAAGCGCATCGGTAAATTGCATTACAATTGAACGCATCTGTTAAAACGGGAGATGCGCACGCTTGGCGATTTACAGACGATAAAAATTTTTTGACGTCTAATAAATTAATTTTCCAATATTTTGGAAAGGTCTGCGCGCAAATCTGGGCTCGTGCGGATGTGCACATGTATGTTTTAATAACGGAATACCACTCAAGAGTTAACATCTCGCTATATAACACAATTACCGTGTGCCCGTTCTCGCCGAACGTCACGTTGTCATCTAAGTAATTCTGAGATTGGCAGGATGGTTCTAGCCCTTTGTAACTCAACTTTGGCTCCTCGCCTCGACCGCTTGCTTACAGTGCAAGAGCCAATTGTAACGCAAGACGGTCTACTCTCCGCACTGACACATTATCAATAAACGCGGTATTGATTTCAAAATGTTACAGAGTTATGAAGCTCTTATCACTTCTGCATTGTGCCTTTACATTGGCAGACGCTTCGGCAGATACTGTCAATATGAAGGTCATCCGATTTCCGGGAATCCGTTTCTCGCGATATTGCCTGCCTCATTTTGATCTTCTCGAGGGTGAGAGAAAATGTTTTCGTGACCACGGCATATACAAGTTACGGTTTACGTGAACAAACTTAAAATTGCTTTCCTTTCAAGTGTAACGTAAACGTGGCGACCGACAACGCAATCGCGACGGTCGGATTACTTTCGTCGAACACTTGTGACTTGATAAATAGAAAGACGCTTGTGAATATTTAAACACGCTAGCACGTTTGCTCGTGTTTCATCGGCCTGAATTTTTCGACCACGTTCGATATTGCCTCTGATCGTTACATTTTAGAAATAATTACTTTTTACAAAAAATAACAATAATTAGAAATATAAGTAATTTATTATAAATTTTAATCATTTTAATTTGAACGTATCGAATTTTTTTACACATCGCAATATCCTAAGTGATAAATTGCGAATAATGCGCTTGCGCGTATAATATTCCAAAAAAGAAAACTGCAAGAACGAGACAATGCAGAAGTTGGCGTGTCATTCTGTTTCAGGAGTATCGTAGCAGCGATTGCCGGAGAAACAGTAATATAAGCGTTCTAAAGCCTATGCAGAGAGCAGGAGTGTGATAAGTGCGTCTGCACCAGTGCCATTAATGCATTGTATTGTATACGCTGAAGCGGGCAAGCAATCGTTAATTTCGCCGTGATTTTTCTCTGTCGGAAGTGCTCTTCTCCGACCGCAATCCGAATGGCAGTATTTTCTACGGGCACGGGTCGTTAACCTTATAGCGTCGATCTCACGCGCGAGAACGTCCAACAAAAGAAAGCGAATAAAGCGAAGGAGCATAAAACGCCGGCCGGGAGCGACAGCCAATGAAGGAGGCGCCGGAAAAAAGACGGACGATGAGCGTACGAGAGACGAGAGCAGTGCGGAAAGTGCACAACGCAAAGCAATGCGACCGCGCGCGATGAAATATTAATTCACGGATCGCGGACCGAATTTAAACCGGAAGAGCAGCCGGGCGGTCGGCCTGCGGCAAGCTGTTGCATCCGGTTTCACAGCAGTGATGACCACGTGACGCCGCACACCCGCGTTGTCGCGTAAAACTCGATAAAGTGCCCTTCGTACAATCGGTCACCGCGAGAGCGAAAGTAAAAGTGGCGTAAATCAATATTTTTATTGCTTTATCTCGCACCCTTTCATCCTTCGTCACGCGATTGCAGTAATTTATTGGGATATCGTTATTGATATGTTGCCAATTTATAAAAACGTGCAAATTTATTAAAAAAAAAAAAAATGCGAAGAAGAATCACGGTGCGCGATCGTCAGATGTAAATTAATGCGCGACTTCATCTCAGATTTATTAGCTTGCAATTATGAAATTATGCCGTGTCACATTGACAAATTCGTGCCGGTGACATATTGGTAATATTAGCACCGCCCGTGCTAATATCGGCTTCCGGTTTCTCGTATCGAATTCCGGTAAAGGCAATCTAATAGCGTCGTGGTACAGATTTAATCGCGCATGTAACGTAATACTGTTGTGCGAAAGACGTTACGTTGAGATGTGATTCGAGTTTAATATTTTCGGATTAAAAGCTACCTCGCAAGCAATTAAAAATCGCAATGTAGAATCTCCATTTTACTACAAATTGTGAAAAAAAGCAATATATACAATCACTGTTCTACAATAATTCTGTAATAACGTTTCTATATATATAAATTTTTATATAAATTATATAAAATTAAATTAACTGAATTCAGCAATTTAATATTTATTGCACTCGTACTCCACTTAATTAGACTAAAAGCAAAATCATAAGTTTAATGACAACTTTTTTCATCATATAAGTGAAAGAATGCATTACGTTTCTTTCCACATTCTTTTTACACATTACATTTTCATATCAATCGTGAAACAAATCGATTGTTCTGCAAATTGAGAAAGAATGTACCGCGTTCTTTCACTGAGGCTATTTCATTTTTCCCCAGATTCACCGAACAAATTTTTCTTCCGTTGGTTTTGCGGGCAACTGTCAGCGCCGCGGAAGTATTATTTCTTTTTGCGCGACAAAAGCGGCGCACGTGACTCCCATAAAATTCATTGCATATGCGCCGATGCAATGATACGCGGAGCCGGAAGCACCTTCTGGCGAATGCACAGCGCACGGACAATGGCCGCGTGTGGAGATCGCGCGTTTGTTGCTACGAACTCGCGGCGGAAGTATGAAAAAGATATAGAAACGAATAATAAAAAGAGAGAGAAGAGGAGAGAGAGAGAGAGAGAGAGAGGAGAAAGAGAGAAACAGTGCATGTCGGATCGACAGGATTCGCGGGCCACTGCGGATACGCAGCTTCGAATAATGATTAGACTTGATTTATGCCATTTAACGGCGCATCACGTTGTAGACATATCTGCCATCGGAATTGCATATAATTTAACGGTTTCTTGCTTCCCCTATCTTTTTTTTTCTTTGAAACACACCGCGCGCACCGTAACACTTAACGTACTCATTTTATTCGGGAGAAATTCTCCAGAGATTAAAAGGAATTTAAAAGCTCTTGAAAAGCAATAAGAAGAAGCTCTTGAAGACAACAGAAGGAGACTTTCTTCTTCGTCTGTGTTAAAGAAACCAGGTTAAAACTTAGCCACTTAGCATCCGATAATTCTATTTACGCGCGTAATCGTCGCAAACTTCGCCAGCTGCTGATCGACTTACGTCGATTTGCATGCGCGTGCTTCAACTTGGCGCGAGATTAAATGTGCATTCACCAGAGAGCATCTTGGTTCGCACCGCGCATTAATTTGTCATTGTCATGGTACTTTCTTGAGTTCATCATAATGTCACGTAGCATGCAGTTCGCTGAAGTTATGTTACCGCGGAGTTAGTAGGTGATTAACGTCAATTTATCATAAAAGGACATTAAGTTCCGCGGGTTTTTATCAATTAGTGATTATCGATCGCTTGAGTTTTGCGCCGAAATTTAACTTCCAATATCACAACGCATAGATTTTCTTGGCTCTATCAATTGACCTATCAATCTATCGGATTTTTTCAGTTTTTTACACGCTATTCTCACAATAGAATTGAAAATAGAACGCGATAACGTTATCAATGGATTTTTCATCCTTGTTTCTAATTATGCAACATCACTGGAAATAGCAAGCGTGTGAAGATTTTATCGCGCGACATTCGAAGAGTTACTACTTCCGCCACGGCTTTATGATAAATGGCAAAATAGCGGATATGTCATCCGTTATTATTCTGCGTTATCCCGCATGAATTTGGGTAACCGAAATCGACCGACGCAATATTGGCAAGGTACGTGATTTCACGATTATTATCGACGAGGGTCGCATTATTAATGCGGTTACTGTCTCGGGGCATGTGTACGTTGTAATGTAAGCGAGTTACTGACGTATTATTATTAGGCCGTTTTGATATAGGTACATGCATAAATTCTCAAAAACAGCTTTATCGCGTTGCGATGATAACGCAATATTAGAAAGAATTACATGTTCCACTATTAATTTCAATTGTTTAATAAATTGCAACATAGATATAATGTAACATTGCAATTTCCATCCTTCATTATACAATATAATACGTTAACATGAATCATATAAAATATATAATATAAAAAAATGACACAATCATTTTTGATACATGTACAAATTTATTACAGCTCAAAACTTTATAATATTAAAAATGATTAAATTTATTTATTATTTTATATATTAATTATTTATTAATAATTATTTATGTAATTTTATGGTCTTTTAATTGCAGTTACATAAGTTATATTAACAGAATGTCGTGTTAACTTCACAGATCCGCGGATTAACTGCTGGCGAAGAGGAGCAATTATAATATGCACGGAAGCGGTGTCGGTATCATAATGCAAACGAGATCTCGTAGCATCTTTAATTATAACGTGCAATTTTTTCATAATTATTGGTCATGCAGCCATTGGTTAAGCATCCACTGCGCGCAATAAATCTTTTTCTATCTATTCGTATCTGAAAGCCTCAAGGCGATCTTTACGTGCAGAAGATCAACGAGGAAGCCAAGAAATATTTCAAACGATATACACCTCTATCTTCATTTCATTTACAAGGAACGTGGTTTACTATGCACAAGACAGTTTGTCAGGTTTCCTTGTTTAACGCATTTTACTTTCAAAGAACATCTTAATTGATGCCGCCTCTTTCGTGTAAGTCTTTACAAACATAATTCACTATTACTTATACGTGGGAGGTGGGAATGCTAGGGCGTATCGACTCATTATACGTTGTTCTAAATAAACAAGATTATTTATAATAAAAATTACATTTTACAAAGCCAATTACACTGCTCGATAATTCTATAAAC